ATATTCGCGTGGTCGAACCGGCTGGTTAAATCCTGCGCCATCAGCCAAATAGACCGGTCTGTCGTTTCACCGCGTGGCAACCTACGTACGCCTCTCTCCTCCATACCCCGTCGGACTTGCGCTAGTCCCTTTTGCGCCACCACCAGTCCATTACCCTTATTAGCGCGAAATTCCAGTGGCGAGGGTGAACAAAATTTTCCAGTCGAGAGGAGGAGGAGGAGGAGGGAGAGGAGAGTTCAGAGTGGAGACATACATCCTCGTTCGAGTCCTCTCATTGATGAATGAATGAATGAATGAATGAATTCGAGGATCGAGAGGGAATGGAACAACGTCGAAACGATTAAAACGAGTTTTGTATTTCGTTTGGAAAAGCCTCGATTCTCGAAGAACACGATTGCTAGTCACCTAGACCTGAGTCACCAAAGTTCACCAAGAGACGGCGGAGAGTGGGGGATAGGGAATAGTTAACGTTCGCCTGGCTGGTTCCGATACTTTCGATACTCGGTTATCGATTTTCGTAAGCTGTTGTTCGCGCTATACCCAGCCGATAAATTATTTCGACGAGTTTATAGAGAGCGACGGATCGATTAACTTGTGCGGGTTAACAAGTGGCCGAACAAATTGTTGTTGGATTTGTCTTTTCCTTTTTTTTTTTTTTAACCGTTTCGAGTTTCGTTCGATCGTGAGATATCGATGAGTAATCGATCAAGCCTCGTCCTTTGAAAATTCTTAGCGTTCGAGATCTATGCATCTACCGACGCGACACCGGATTCTCATCATTTCTCTCTCTCTCTCTTCTCCCTCCCCCCTTCTCGAACTCGAAGAAACTCGGTTAACGAGTCGCGTAACGGCGAGTTTTTTTTTCTCGTCGAAACGAGGCGTGAAACCGTCTTCGCCGGTTAATTTGCTGGATAATAAAATTTCCGCACGGCGTCTGGCCACGACGTATGCAAATACGAGAATGCGGACCGTTGAGACATTTTTATAGAAAGCCTCCTCCTCCTCCTCGTTTCCATCCCTTTTTGGACGCGGTCGTGGAATCTCGTGCGCGCATCCAGATATAACCACACTTATTATTTCCATCCTCGCCACGCGTTATAAACGCGTTTCAACGGTTGAAATTCCGAGCAATTTCCTCGGAGGATAATGCAATACAGGGATGGGGGGAGGGACAGGGTAATGCAACGAAATATTGACACTGGTGGTGCGCGCTGGTGGAATCAACGGTAGAGCAGGAGAGGGAGCAGGGGGGAGGGGAAAGGGTGGACGAGAGAGGGGGAACGAAGAGAGGTCGGGACAACGAATATGAATACTGTATCGAAGCAAATGTAGTCGTTTATAGTAGTCGAGGTGTGAACACGCGGGCAAAAACATTTTCGCGCGATGCATTTTCTACCGCCGTCACGCACGGCGAACCGACACGCACACATACACGCGGCCAAGCTGCGTTGAAAATGGTCACGGAAGAAGGGAATTTACGTAATATATTTCGTGTCGGAGAAAAAAGCAGGGAAAAATAGCGGCTAAAGCGTTCCCTCTTTGTGTCGCGTCACTCGTGCAACGATTTCGCGTAATTTACATTAGAAGGCCCGTATCGTCCCTTCCCTTTCGAACTCCCTTCCCCACCCTCCTCCACGCGTAATCAAATCGTTCCGCGAAACCGATCCAAAATTTCTATTAGCCCGTCGTGATACGCGCGATATACGATCCTTTTTTCCACCTGTGAATTCAAACGTGTGTTTCGTTGGAAAAAAAAAAAGAAAAAAAGAAAAAAAGAAAAAAGAAAAATACCCGTGAATTTCGAGAGCGTTCGATCTTCGAAAGATCCTCTCTATGATTCTCGGTTCGAATCACGCTACATTCGGAATATTCTATCGTGCGCGTCATCTCGCTTGTTGAATTTTCGCGCACACCTGGTATCAATCAGGGAGTCTCGGGGGCTTGTTTCGACTAGTCGGTCGCGTGTTCTCTCGCTAATGGTTGTATTCAACCGTATTAAGTTAACTCGGAACGAGTTATGTTTGGAACATCGTTTTCCTCTGTGTATGTGCGCGCGCGCATAATGCCGCTCGCATAAAGCAGCTTGTATTCCGTTAATCCGATAAGGCTCGGAGCGTTTGAAACGGGAAAGGGTGGGACGGGGGTGGGGATGGGGGGTAAAAGGGAATAATTAGCCCAGATTCGGAATCGATTTAACAGAAACAATAATCTTATTTACATCCCCGTTTCGCTTTATAAATAATAAATCAGATATCTCCTCCTTCCCCCTCTAAATCCCAGCGTTATTCGCGCTTCGAATGCGTAATAATCGTCTTAAACCGAGGAGGAAAGGAAGGGGGGTAAAAATTGGAATGAATATTTTCCGTTAATCGACAAATTTGCCGTGAGCGTGCGAGACGGACCCGAAAAAAAAAAAGAAAATGAAAGCGAGAGAGAGAGAGAGAGAGAGAGAGGAGGAGGAGGAAAG